AAGCAATTTTACTTGAATACATTTAAGCATATTTTTCTTACAAATTACAATGAAATAATTTCAGTAGGACAAGATCAAAATGATTTGTAATGGATGATTCATATTTTTCATATGTTGATTAATTTAGAAACTTTTACTTGATAAAAAAATTCATCATCTGGAGAATTATTATATGTAGTATTGTTTATTCTTTCGTACTTCTTTTTAAAGCAACTTTTTTAGGATGAATATGCTGGCTTTTGGAAAATGAGACCGAGGTAGTGAGGTACTCGTATTGGATTAGTCTCTCTCGAGTTCAAGATTTTGTTCGAACTGGTAGAATTGATCATGGTTTCTATGGTTCAATTTTGACACTCTTCATCCTTAAAAATGATCTAAACATTAACACTAGTTGAGTTAAGTGGCATATACTGCTTTTTTGGGTTCATGGGATCGCTGAAGTTTTGTTTGGGACAACTTTTTTACTATTTTTTAAAATTGTTTTTCAAAATAATTTTTTTTACACTAAAAAGAAAATTAAACTAAAAAAATACTTGAGAAAGCATAAAAAAAGTCATCTCAAAAGAAGCCTGAGATATCAAGAAGTGGGAGATTTTGATTTATATACTATGCTTGTATTATTTTCATTACGATGGTTGGGTAGTCCCCCTAAGCATTCACATGTTGTCCTGACTTTTGAAGAGCGTTTCAATTGACTATGATAGGTGATAATGGCCTAGTGGCTAGTGGCTCATAATTTGGATGAATTATTACGTGCGGAGATCGGATACAGAAAATCGTTCATTTTTTTCTCTATGAACAATAAAAGCGCAGCAAACTGTGTTTTACTGTTCACAGAGATAAATCCAAATGGTTATCTGTGTCCGGTCTCCGCACGTAATAATCTCTCCATAATAGAAGCAACCGATGTAGAGACCTAAACAAACTCATAATAGCACATAAACCACCTCTAGTAGGATTCAGCGAGCCTCTAAGGAGAATCATTGAAAGCACTCTTTTTTTAAGTAATTCTTCCTTATTCTATCAAATCTCAGAAATGCAAAATGAGTTTTTGATAATCCTTAGAGTGGTGATAAACAAAGAACCTGAAAAGTGCAACAAAAGTGGAGGTAGAGTAGAATATATATATATATATTCTACTCTAAACATTCTTACCACCTACAATTTACATTCTTACCACCTACATCTAAACATATTTTGATCAGTGCCCTTGCCAAACATATAATATAAAAGGACTTTCAACCATGACTGCAATACATTTATAAGCAGCTGCAATGAGCTTCAAATCATTATATATTTTGTTCAGATGCCAAAAACATGTACGTTAAGACTTCATTTGGGACGGTCTTCTTGCTGCTTCTTAAAGCGGCTTTTTAATTCAAAATTTTTATTTTTTGCACTAAAAAATTGCTTTAAGATGCAGTAAAAAAGCCGTCCCAAATAAAGTCTAAGACTTCATTTGAGATTTTTTTATTGCACATAAAAATTTTTAAGTTTAAAAATTTTTTGTAATAAAAACTGTTTTAAAAAGCAGTAAGAAAATTATCCCAAATAAAGTCTAAGCCAGAACTTACACTGAAACAAGTCTAAGCCAGAACTTACACTGAAACAACGTGCCAAAGCCTGGCTGATATTCGAGGCTTGATATTCCAATCGGTACAACTTTAGCTCAAGCCAGCCCAAACAGCTGATATATATTCAGTAATGTTAATTTGTATGCCCTTAAAAAAAAAGACTGGCTCATTATATTTAGAGCTCAAATCAAATTAATTAACCAATCCGATTCTCAATATTCAAGTGAAATCCAAAAGCCTAATTTCAAGCCCCTAAATTTAATCAAGTAACCGATTGATAAAGCAATAAGAGATTAAAAGCTTCAGCTCCAGTAAGTCAGTAGAAGTGCATGCAACTTCATTTACAAAAAGCAAAATCAAACACTAGTAACAATTCCAGCATCATCTGTAATGGTTGACTAAAGGAGGCCTCATCATATTCTACTGCAAGCATGCAAACATTGGAAGCAAAATTCACATACCCTAGATCCGAAAACGACCGTAATTTTGATGTTAAGCATGGTCCTTCAAGGCCTCACTGATTTCTGCAACATGATCCCGAAGTATCTTCCACTTTACACAAGCAGATAAAATGTTAGCTTAGGCAGTGTTAAAGGGTAAATAAAAGACAAAAATGAAAGAAAAAATCTAATAAAGATCATAAATAGAAGACATGATTTTATGTAAGTTGGTGAGATTTATTTACGTTCATTACGGCATAGAGATTAAGTTTTTGTTTATGACAGCTTTTTTGCTGCTTCTTAAAGCAGCTCTTAGTACAAAAATTTTAAATTTTGCACTAAAAAATTGCTTTAAGAAGCAGTAAAAAAGCAATCCCAAACGAAGCCTAAATCTCTCTGTTGAGGTTTCGTTTGGGATAACTTTTGTATAGCTTTATAAAGTAGTTTTTAAGTAAAAAAAAAAGAAATTTTGTACTAAAAAGCTGCTTTAGAAAGCAATAAGAAAACGGTCCTAAGAAAACTTGAGCTTTAAAAGGGATGTATCAAACATTTCTCTTCAGATGATTTATAGTTATCATTTACAAAAATGGACTCACATGTTGAATATAATGTAGAGTGCAATAAACATCTGTCGTAGTTAAAGCTAAAACATGAGAGAACACAACTTCCTACTATAGGAGATAACGACCGGAACAATCAAGAAAGTTGTTGCAAACTACTTCCTACCTTTAGGAAAGACACAGGTCAGACTCTTCTTGTTAAATAGAAGTTGCCTAAACCCCCCTTCTCTTCCTCTTCTATCTATTTTCTTATGTGAGATGCTAAACCCCTCCTTACAAAGCTATATTTATAGCATTAACAACATATGAGTTCAAAAAATATAAAATTAAATATAAGATCATATAAGACTTAAAATTCTCTTAGTGTTGTTTGATATCCTATTTTAGGCAAGATTTGAGCAAGATTTAACTTAAATACCACCATTTTTTTAAGATTTTAAATCCAACTATTTCAATAAATCTCATTTTAGTCCCATTATTAATTCATCCACAAATTGTTAAATCTCACAATTCACAAGATTCAATGGATTTAAGAATTTCCTCTCATAAATTTTAAATCGTGAAAGAAATAGCAAAATAGTGTCAAAATTTAGCAAGATTTAATAATCCACGTGGCAAACATTTTTCAGATATCAATACTCTTGATATTTACTAAACTTGTATTTACGTAAATACTATTTGTAGCCAAACAACCCACATAGCCCACAATAAAGAGTTGCCCATATATTTACAAATATCAATATGATGGATCGAAGCCGGTCCAACCAATCAACCCAACCCCATCAAAGGGGGCCAGTCTAGCAGGCGGACAGAAGAGCCCTGTAAGCCCCACTAGTGTGGGCAGCGGGGAAGGCGAAACAGGGGCTAAAAGGAGATTAATTATACCTTTAATTACTTACCATAGAAAACCAAAATTTGGAGGAAATTAGGAAGGTTTATTTAGGGAAAGATGATTGGTTTGAATTCAAGTTTTGGAGGGAATTAATAAGCTTTATTTAGGGAGATATTGTTGATTTGAATTCATATTTGGGAGGGAATTAGGAATGTTTATTTAGGATTAATTAGGTTGTTTTATTTTCATAATTTGATTTGGTGTTTTGCAGTAATTTCTTTGCAATTATTCCTAGAGGCGCCTAGGGTTCTACAAAGTGTAAGTGAGCCTAGCCGGCTCACAAGCCGACTCGAGCTTGACTCATTAACAAGCTCACGAGTCGAGCTTATCGAGTCACAAGTTCACGCTAGAGCCTATACTCGAGCTTGTATATTAAACAAGCTCTCGTATATTAAATGAGATCAATCTAAAGCATAGCTCGGCTCGAAAGTGAGTCGCTAGATTAAATTAAAATATATTTAATTTTTAATGTATATAATTTTAATTATTTTTGTTGGTTATTATTTATATTGATGACTTATAAAAGCTATAATATATTTTTAAAATGATAAATAGACAATTCTTCCAAATTTAATTATAGAGAGTTATAAATTGGTATCAGGGCGGTTGTTGAAAGAATTTGATTGTAACTAGAGATATAGGAATTGATTTATGAGTGGGGTAGAAGTTGGAAAGTATAAATTTGTCATTTCTGTATTTAATTGATTGAGTTTGATGAGTTTTGATTCAATTTGAGCTTTAATTTTACGGTTTTTTTGTATTGATTTTATCTCCAAATCATTAAGGGAAATGTCGGGTGTAAAACCCGCAAAATGTCATTGTAGACCTCGCACACTTTTCGATGCGCTGTGATGAGTTTTAAGTGAATTTTTCAAAGTCGTCGTATTTGTTTTGCATTTAATTGATTGAGTTTTGATTCGTGATTTGCTTTGATTCAATTTGAGCTTTAATTTTACGGATTTTTTGTATTGATTTTATCTCCAAATCATAAAGGGAAATGTCGGGTGTAAAACCCGCAAAATGTCATTGTAGACCTCGCACACTTTTCAATGCGTCGCGACGAGTTTTAAGTGAATTTTTCAAAGTCATTGGAAATTCGACGCAATAAATTTTATAAAATATTGCACAAAATTCTGATTGCACAAAATTCTGAGTGAATCGATGTATAGAACCCATATTGGATTTTAAGTATTTTGGGAGTTAAAATTTCTTGAAATCTCTTTATGACGGTTTTGCCCTTGATGACTTTTAAATAGAGATGATTTTTAAGTAAGGGCTTTGAGGTCATTATGCATTTAATGACAGGATCCCACTCTTATTAAGGGACCGAAATGTTTCGGTCCCCATTTCATTTTGGTCCCCATTTCATCCTTGCGGCCCGAACTGAGCAGAGAAAGGGGGAGAAGACGTCAGGTAGGAGCGGCGACGGGAGAGCCTAGGGGCGGTTTCCGGCAACGGTTTGCGACGAAAATTGAAGGTAACTTGTAAGGAAGGCTAAGGTAAGTTGCTTGCAAGAGTTTCCTCTTCTTTTCATGGAGTTTTCACTAAGAGAAGAAAACTAGGGTTTTGGGAAAATGCAAGTTTTCTTTAAGATAAAGATAGGGAAGCGTAGGGATGTTTTTAAAGCCAAATATGAGTTGATTTCATGAAGAATGTGGATTTTAAAATTTAGGGTTTTATCCGATTTTGATTTTCTTTCAAAAAGTCTTTGTAGGAAAGTTTCTAAATGATGTTAGGAAGTTTTTTGTGAAGCTAGATTCTTTTTAGGAGACATTTTTCATGCTCCAATAGTTAGAGTTTTCCAAAAACATGAAAAACACTTTGTGTGTTGATTTCTTTTGAGTTTAGGGAGGTTTTAAAGTAAGGATTTTAGCTTTAACATAAATTATTGTTTTTCTAAATTTTAAATTAGATGAATCCAATAAATTGTTGTATGTTAACTTGAATTTAAGAGGAAATATGAGGTTTGTATATTTGAGGTGAGCAAAGAATTGATTGAGGCTTTCCAAAAGCTAGAGTTATGTTGAAATCCTAATTTTAGTGAAAATAAAAATGAGATTAACATGGTTTAAGAGAGGGGTTATTTAGAAAATTAAAGCACGATGTATGAAATATTTACTTGTTTTTAATTTAGGGCTTTTTTAGAGGTTTGAGAGTTAACAAATTAATGTTTACACTATATGTTTGTCTCATGTAGATTTTGATTACGTAAGAGAAAAGGGTCGTAAGAATTTTTTACGGATCACATTGTGGTGAGGTAGGTGAAATGGAATTCTTTTAAATTTAGAAAACACTTTACATTCAAATACATAGAAATGGCATTCCTTTTTATGCTCTTTATGATATCCTTATGACTAGCATATTTCTTTATAAAAGCTCATGATCACTTGATGTAAAAGCAAAATCCTTTTTATGCAATATTAAAACTCAATGATGAATCTCATGCTTCATTCTTTACATGTACTACACATGTCTTCTCTTTACATGCAAATATAGATTTGAGCATAGCAAATATGTACTTCCATATGAAAACATACACTTGAATAGTTTATATAAGCCTCTTTTATGAATATGTAAGAATTATGTGCTTGTGCATGTTGACGCGAAAGTATCAATGGTAAAGGAGCTCTTTTGAGCAATGGTAATGGGGCTCTTTTGAGCCAAATGGTAAAGGAGATTCTTTTAAACCAAATGATAAATGAATGACCAATTTATATGTATCTGATCAGTACAAATGATACTTTCGAGATGGGTTTTATACATTAAGATATTATGAATATTGTATCTTTATGTTATATGCATATGAGGCTTTTATTTGAGGCATGAATGTTTAAAGAGGAAGAATTGAAAGATTATGCAAAGAATAAAAACTTAAAGGTTGATATAAAGGCTTGTTTCACCCTAGACAAATGTTATAAAACGTTGATTATTCATTATTGAGACATAAAAGCATGTTGTAGTTTCTTCTTTAGTACTTAAATTTATTTGAATGTCATTTACATCTGCTGAGTTGTGACTCACCCATATTGTGGGACACTTTTCAGGAGGATCTGGTAAAGGATAATGACAGATAGACCTCCCCTCACGTACCGACATAGAGAGACGATAGGCGGCAAATTTTATCTTTTTTTGTTTTTGATGTTTTGAAATAGAAGGATTAGAGATGATATGTAAGGAAATATTTTTGGACATTATTCATATTTTGGAAACTTTATGTTTTGATTTATTATGAAGTTGTATTATTGAATGAATAGAAAGAAAGAAAAATTTTTTATTGGTTTTATTTTAGTGGCTCTTTCTTATGATTTGAAGATGTTTTGTATATTGAAATGTGAAAGTTTTTAATTCCTACTGTCCGATCTCCGTTCCCGCCTCGCACTTGCGAGCTAATCGGGTCGGGTCGTGATAAAGAGTGGTATCAGAGCAAATGATTTAAGAATATTGATTAATATGAAAGAGCCAATAGGATGATCCTATATGTTAGAGTTGGTTTAGGATGCATGTGCTATAGATTGCTTAAATTATTTTGTTGTATTATGTCTCAGGGCTGTCGAACCTGAAACTGATACTGAAGAGGTTAGGAGAGATCTGTCAGCAGTAGCGGAGCCTCAAAGTAGTAGCATTAATGCTACTATGGACTCTTTCATGCAGATGATGGGATCCAGGACCCAAATGATAAAGAGTACTCAGACTCAGGCTGGAGGTAGTGGAAGCACTATGATGGACAAAAATTTAAAATTATTCCAAGACATGAAGCCTCCATCATTCATAGGAGGTGGACCCACAGAGGCGGGAGACCGGTTAATAAGAATAGAGAAGATATTGGAAGGAATACTATGCCCTCAAGATAGAAGGGTTACCTTAGCTGCCTATACCTTCAATGGAGAAGCAGAAAAATGGTGAAGAAGTCAATTACAAGAGACTTTTGGAGGAAGACCTAATAGCCAAGTGACCTGGGAGGAGGTTGTCAAGGTATTTAGAGACTGATATGTACCAATGTCTGCTAGAAGACAAATGCAAGACAAATTTAATAGATTGGTACAGGGCGATAGAACCATTACACAGTATGAGGCTGAGTTCACGATGTTCTCTAGGTATGTTCTCATAGATAGAAGAAGTACTATGATGCTAAACATAGATCAATTGAGTTTAATGTTAGAGAGTTTGTATTCCTCAAGATTAGTCCTATGAAAGGTGTAAAGAGATTTGGCAAAGTGGAAAAACTGAGTCCAATATATGTAGGTCCTTTTGAAATAGTAGAAAGAGTTGGAAGTGTGGCCTGCAGATTGATTTTGCCATCTCATATGAGTGGAGTACATAAAGTATTTCACATCTCTTCTTTGAGGAAATACATTGCAGATGAAGCTCAGAAGATCAGTACTTAATCAATAGATATCCAACCA